TAAAAGATTAACTTTAATAAAACTTAATCCCTTAAACTATTTAAATTGTTCAAATGCGAACGTAATATTTTTTTAAATGGCTACATGCGAACAATTGCGAACAAGGGGGGGAGGGGGTCTAGATTTCTTAAAAAGTGCGAACGTAATTTGCGAATCACCCCTTATCATTTGTTCGTTAGAAGATTTATTGCATTTTTCATCGATTACTTGATATTTGATTGAAATGTCATTTATATTGACGTTCAACAGTATTAATACCCGTACTGTAAACATAGATTTAGTATAAGCTTTATGTTTGCATTTAAAACCAGATAATTGGGACGTTTTGGGTCCTCATTGGGTCCTTATTTTACGGTAGATTCACTTCAAATCCAAATGAATCAATGAATAAAATTTTGTAATACAAATAATCAAAGAAGTTTGCGCAAAATTAATGTTGAAAATGCCAAAAATTTTGCATTAAAAATTTTGACCAATTTTTATTTCAGTAATTTAATTATGTTTGTAATCGCAATTAAAATTAATGTATGTGAAGTAAAATAATTACGTTAATCGTAATAAAAAATGTATTCATTTATCACGAAATTTCTTATTTTTCAAATAACTTTTTCGTATTATGTCCAAATTTGAAAATTATTTCAGAATAATATTCGTCTCATCAATACCTTTCTATCGATATATAATATGATATACTTATTCATAAATTAAAAGATCTGATTTTAAAAATTTTGCCGATAAAAGTGGTCACTGCGGCCAGACCCGAGGGAATCTAGACATATGAAGTATATCACTCGACTACCCATTGAGTGTACTTTCATTTTATAACAATAATTCCCGGGTGCCCGCTAACACACAGATGCGCATCCTCCTTTGGCTTTATTTTAATTACAAATAGCAATACAGAATTTTTTTTATTTTGATTACAAATATAATTCGAGTAAATTTTAATAAATAAATAAATATTTTAAGATTCAGTTGAAGAGAAGAGATGTGCTTACATTCAATATTTACTACAATATATTCCGATACTTTATTCAAGTTTAAAAAGTTGTAACAAGTTTATACAAGTGTATACAAGTGTATACTGTACACAGTCTGTACTGCAGACAATTTCAACACTAATGTGACAGTATTACAAAATCTTGTATTAATATGGAAATTATATAATGGTTTGACATTTTTTGCTTTATAAAGATCTCCCGGTGCATAACGGCCAACACGGGTTAACAAAAATCTGAAATAGCTAAAATATCCGTTCCATCAATACTAATATTTCCCAATTAAAAAACTATATAAAAAGCAACTAGATTAAGAATGGCAAAGGATACAGTTTAATCATGTAATCTGCACAATGTTGTATATGAGCGCCAAAATTAAAACATTTAATTCAATTTTGGTAACTTGTTTAATTGATTGTGATCAACCAAATGCCCATGGCACTTTTGAAACAACAATATGAGCTCAGAATCTCATATAGAATAAGCTTAATGTTTGTGAAGAATCCCTATTGAAATAACAGCTCAAAAGTGAGAACAAAATACAACCAATGAATGAGTGTTTTGTCGTAATGTATGGACACATGTGTTGTATAACAACACTGTTATTGAAAGCAAAAGTTGTTGAGTCCAAGAGTTAGCCAAACCTTAATCGATGTCAGCGATGGTCAACATTGAAGAGGACGGCAATGATGTGATCCTCGCGACCGGCGGTTACGACCACACCATCCGCTTCTGGTCCGCGCATAACGGCGTCTGTCAGCGCATTGTTCAGCACTCAGACAGTGTTTGTCCACACATTTTGTGACATAACTCTTGAATTGTCTCATTTGATCCATTGCTTTGAACAGCAGGTGAATGCGTTGGAGATAACGCCGAACCGACACATGCTGTCGGCGGCCGGCTTTCAGCACATCCGCATGTATGACATCGTGTCTTCAAACCCGAACCCAGTCGTCAACTATGAGGGCGTCTCCAAGAATATCACTTCTTTGGGTTTCCAAAGCGATGGCAAATGGATGTACAGCGGAGGCGAAGACGGATCCATTA